TGTACAGGGCGCCGGTGGCACCGTCGGACTGTCCGCACTCTATGGGTGGACACTCCGCTGGTGAAGTTTCGAACCCTTCTCGCCTCCGTTACATCGCCAAGTTGATCCACATCAACTCCAACTTTATCTCCTTTGTAAATGTGCCAACACCACCAAGTGTACACCACCGTGTGTATGTGTTAGCATTTTCACAATCATTTTTCAAAGGATTAGCCACTCAACTTGCCACACCACTCGATCCTAGCGACGATGCAAAGTTAGATCACTCGAGTGGTACTAGATGACCGATATGCAAACAAGTTTGCCCCTCTTGATAGTACGGCCATCTATCCTAAACCTGGTCATCAATTTTTCTACACATCTATGACTGGTGAAATGAAATGTCCTAGGTTATACATTTGTCTTGCGCATTTCATTCCATCTCCTCAAATGTCGATGCAACACATGCACCAACACGATCAATAATGATATGATCCACTTCATATCATCACGTGATTATATTGGTTCATCGATCTTGACTTCACTTGCTTTTCAACGTTGCCTTCGTCCATCGGCACCAAGTCTTGCTCAAACTTCACCGCCACACGGTCCATCGCTCCAAAGCCTCTGACTTGCCCTTCACTCTTGCAATCTGTCCATCAAGCTAAGTCTTGTCTTGATCTTCTCCACCTTGATCACATGACTCAATGTCATGTCTCATGTGCAATGAGCTCCTTCATCATCAAATGTGTGAGCTTTGCAACATCTCCGAGCCATTTCCACCTTCATGGCATATATTGCTCACACACATGTACCTGTGGAATAATCACCTGCGTATCTCATATAAACACAATTAGTCCACCTAGGTTGTCACTTAATTACCAAAACCACACAAGGACCTTTCAGCGGCTCACTTCTCTCCCGCGGCCCGCTTCTCTTTTTTCACCTTCGCCACGAGGCCCAGCTGACCGGCCCAGCAACGCCTCGTCGCCCGCTTCCGCTCCCGTGCAGCCCACCTGCTCACTTCCTCCGCGCACGGCCCAGCGTTGCCCACGTCGCTTTCCCTCTTCCCGCGCCCAGTTGCCGACAAGTGGGGCCCGCGTGTTAGCACCATCCCTTACCTCCGTCGTAGCCGAAGCGGACTCCGCCGCCGAGAGTCCGAAGTCGCCCCGCCTCGTCCGCCTTGCCGTGCGCACCAAGATGATCCCCGGGCCATAAATAGCAGCCGCCCGCATCGTTTCGCCTCCCTACCAAGCTCTAGAGCAAGGTGCATTCGCCGAGTCACCGTGTCACCACAGCCCTAGGCGCCGCCGTCGACGTCGTCCGCCATCTCGAGCTCGCAGCGCCGTCTCCATCCGCTCCACATCGCTGTTTTTCGTCGTGGTAAGTTCACCTTGGCCTCCTCTTGCTCTCCGTATCTTTCCCAAGTCAAACCATGGCCCGTAGGACGTTTTCCCGTGCACTGCTCACTGCCGGCCATGTCCTGCGCCGCCCGTGTTCCTGTTCCGGCCGCTGGCCGTTTCCCTCTCCCGCCTCGTTTTAATCTGCACCATACCCCTTCGCCTACTAATTTTGCATAAGAGCCCCTCGGATTTTTAATATAGAACCCATCGTCCCTACAGTTTTTTTAAAGAGCCCTGTCTTTCTTCAAAATAGTATCCACAGTCTTTGGCCTATTTAAAATCAGATTTTATTTATTTTTAAAATTCAAAAATCAAGTTCCATCTATTTACAAAATTGCCAATATCTTTATTAAGCCATATCTTCTCCGTTTTAACTCCGATTTGACCCGTTCAAGTTGCGTTAGATTCGTAACGACATAATCTACGCATTAGTACCAATGTTTTCCATGTCAAGAGCTCTGAAATTTTATGGTTTAACGCCTAACTTGAATAATGGTTATGCAATTGGATTTTTCTAATTAAAAGTAACTTAGGCTTTTCACCTTGGTCAATTATATGATTAGTTTTGCCTTCTTTTTCTAAATCAAGTATAATTTGACTTAACTCAATTAAGGTATTTCTCTGAAGTATCTTATACATGTTTTATATAGCTAAAATAAATAAAGCCTATAGTTTCTTTTCGAAGCAAATCTATTGGTAGATGTATCTTTTTTACCGTAGCTCCGATTAGCGTGCTTTTTCGTGTCTGTGTGATCGTAGCAACCGTAGACTTGACTTCAAATTCTTTTTCACTGATTGATGTATTGTTCTAATATAGTTATGTTTGAATGTTATGCATGTTTGTTCGGATGCTTGTGTGGTGCTTAATGATCTTGTCCAGTTGGTGAGTTTTACGTGGTGATCATGAAACAGTTCTTTGGAGGCTACGAATCAATAGAAGAAGGATCTAAGTTTAAGGTAAGTGTAGCATGGGATCATCCTTGTTGTTCTATACCTTTAATCATTTAATTCATGCTGCATGTGTCTACCTTGATTACCACTAAGGATTTTCTAGTACTTTATTACCTTGTACCTTGATACCTATAGTGTGTTGCATTGGGTAGTATGATGCTAGTGCTCAACTACAACCATGATCTTGTAACTTGACTAATGGAATATGCAATAAACACTAAAAGATGTTTTAGTAACATGGAACACGGGGCCTAGAGCATTGGACTATTTTTATGACGCTCTAGATTCCTCTCCCTAAGGACTTATCTGTTAGTGATCATCCGGGGCTTACAGTACAACTGTGAGGGCTACATGGCTCTGGCTTTAGCTCAGTACGAGGACCTTTTCTAGCTTGTTAGAGGTTACCTCTATTGGTGTAAGAATAACTCGACGAATCGGGTATAGTGCGGCCTCTGTCCCCTTGAGTATAGGTTGTGTGTTATTGTGCCATCAGAAAGGGGGCTCTATATCTGTTTGCCGAGTGAATCTAATGGCCCTAACTTGTTAGATGAATCTTTGAAAGGCTTTATAATGAACCATACCTGCTTACATTAGAAGTGTTTTGGGAGTAATTAATCCGGGCATATGGGTATCACGACTCACAGTAAAAGTGTACAACCTCTACAGAGTGTAAAACTGGTATATCAGCCGTGCTCACGGTCACGAGCGACCTTGAAACCCTTACAGAATAGATGATGAACATTGATGATACTGATGATGAAGATGTTCACTAATGATTACTGTTTATACTATTTATTATTCATGATTACCTGATCATGTGTTTTTATGGGCTTGTGAATAAACTTGTTGTCACCCAATTGCTAAAAGATGACTCATTAAAAGCTAATCGCAGTAAACCAGTGTCAATCTTTTGAGCCTCATGAACCCCATGTTATATTTGTTGAGTACGACATGTACTTACGCTTGCTTTACTTTTTAAATCTTTGGAAAAATCCCGGATGGGTACCAGATTGCTAGAGTTTGGAGGAATTAGGCTTGTGATCAACCAGTCAGTTGTCCCTGTGAAATTAGAATCTTCACCCGAAGATCGGAGTTGTCTTTCCGCTGTTTGCTGTCTAAGGTTATATCCTTTATACTAAGTATATTATATATTAAGCATTGTCTATTGATATTACCTCTATTTGTGGCTATATGCGAGATTTGACATCCTAGTCTTATATATGGTGTGTATCTGATTTTTTTCTTAAAACCCATGCAGGAAACGGTTCTCATGGACTCGCACGGATCAATTGCGGGAAAGCACAATCATAACCTATTTTTTTCTTTCATCTTGTTCGTGGTCTGGACCTTTAACTCTTCTATATTAATACAAATCTGGCATGATTCATGCCAGTTTTACATTAAAAAAATCTACGCGCTTTTCTCTTAGTATTTACTTTCCATGTGGCCAAACTAAAAAATTCTTACATGCAGCAAATTTGCCTCTATACCACCGATAGTTGTTAGCTGGTTTTCGGTACCGCCCTGGTGTGGTTTTTTTTTTTTTGAGTGTCTCCAGTTTCTCAAGCTTTTCCGAGAAGGCATTGTTGCAGCCTTTTCCTACAGCAGATTTTGGTTTCCTTGGATGTGCAGAAGTGTTTCACAGCTATTCCACTTGCACCCAGCAGAAGCCGCATGCCAACCTCAGCAGAATATGTGTGGCAACTATACCATATGGAGCACCGGTGTAGTATCATGCCTCCATCAATGCATAGTATGGTGTCATATTCATGGTTGTGGATTATGGTGGTATGGGACCAGTTAATTCGAGTTGAACCAGGATATAACCAGCAGTAATACCTCAGTGCCCAGTTGCTCATGGTCTGTCGCTCGCTATTTCTTACCTTGCAGAATTGAATGGTACCTGCTTAATCTTGCTTGCCTAGTAGCACTTTACATTCTACTCCGTATAATATACTTACATTTTGAAGAAGAGAAACGTTATAACATATGGGGGCTGAGAGAAGAATAAATTGTGGCGCTTATGGTAAGTCGGTAACGTACGGGCAGAGCTCTTACAGTAACATCCATGCTCAAAATAGTCTCATAATCCAGAGCTAATATTTGGGACGCTCCACGCATTTCTGACATGAAATTCTGAATCGTGTGAAGCTGTATATTCCTCTTCACAGCTCGTGCTGCATTGCTCCTGTCTATAATCTGCCGTATACCAAAACTTCAGGCCTTAAAGGCCTAGATATCATGGCATTCCGGTGCCTCTACAGTCCAATTAAAGATCTCATTTCTTCTCTCCAAGAAAGAAAATTCCATTTCAGGACGAGCGGTCACAAATACATAGATATACATGAGCTACCAGCTGTAGAATTGAAATCCTCTCCTCTATCTAGCAACTTAGTAGTAGCACAAAAGTTGAAGGCAGATGCATTGTCATTATCATCGTAGCACCTCCCCCCCCCCACCCCCCACCCCCCCCTTTTTGTTCTAAGTAAGGAAGCACAATAGGACCAGCAGAGATATCTGGAAAAGGGAAGAGGCGAAGTGCTAGATTGTTGAAGCTGGAGGAGCAGAAGAACGACGGCGACTCCACCGCCGTCTGCCTCCTTGATCCCTGGCAGATAATCCGGAACAGCATTTCCGGTCCGAGCGCGCGAGGGAAAAGAAAAAGGAATGAAGAAATCCAGGTAAAAAAAAAAGAATCAATCTGCAGCCATTGGGTGCTTTCAACTCTCTTCCTCCTCCGGTTCTCATCTGCCGGATGATTTTGAAGCAGTTGCAGGGAGAAGCTTCATGTAGCCACCAGGAGCCAGTATACGCAGCCAACACCAGTACGGAATTTTTGCTTCTTTGTTATCATCGGTACTGTTGCATTTCCTGTTTAGACATGAGAGTTTCATATTGTTTTTGTTTCAGATAACTTACCAAGCCAAAGCTCAGTAGGAAATATCATGCATTGAATATATCCTCGAGGAGTTGGAGCTGTAAGCTTTAGGATCTCTTGTTTTGGCTTGTCCATCAGGCACCGCGTAGTTTCCTGTTATGATGCGTCTTCGTCTCTTGCAGGAGAGACAGGCATGAGTTGTTTGCAATGCCAGATGGCATACAGGTAAGAATTAAGAAATGAAGTGATAGATCTGAATTGTTTGTGTTAGAGTGAGAGACTGAAACTCGAACATGTGACACCATTCTTGATGCAACTATTTCTTGTTCCAAGTGAAAGACTGACGACATGTTGCTACAGGTGACTGATTATGCAGAGCTGGTGAGCAGGCCCGGTGACTTTGCAACATTGAGACAGAAGAACAAGGATGGCATGTACACAGCACTGGAGCAATTTGAGGTCCGTCTCTTGACGCAGTTGCACTTGCACGTCGTTATCCTTTCCATTTTACGGTTTAAATTTGCATCCACGGCCTTATAAACAAAAAAGAAAAGATCCACCCACGGGATTGAATAAGGAATAACTTCGGTCTCACGATCTTCATTCACTATGCGATCGCAGAACGATGTTTACATGGTGTTCCAGAAAGCGATAACGATGAACAGCCAGGACACTGTGCCTTTCAGAGAGGTTTCGTCACTCGCCTAGCTCTTATTAACGTACCTGCACAATGCAAGAAGCCAAAGGCTATTAGACAAGGTCTTCTTGATTTCTGCAGGCCATGGCACTGCTAGATCAAGCCAAGCTGGTGTTCATGTCCCTGAAGAGCAACCAGATGTTCTCGGAGTCGGAGCTGGCGGCGTGGCGCCAGAGGCACGCGGACCAGCTGCAGCAGCCGATCACGCCGGAGGGGAGAGAGGGAGGCGGCAGAGGTCCATCACGCCACACGGCTGCGCCGCCGTTGCAGCCGGCTGCCGCCACGCCGAGGAAGAGGAGCGCCGCCGAGACGAAGAAGCAGGAGAACGCCAGCACCGGCGGGAACGGGAGCACTCCGGGGAGCCAGAAAGGGAGGCAGCGCGGTGCCAGGGAGAGCAAGGCCACGCCGCCGGGAAAGAAGGCGAGAAAAGGTATCAAGCTGCCGTAAGCCAGCGCTGTTTCTGACTGACACTGAGCTGACACGCTGTTCCATTGGAGACGCAGCAGCAACGGCGGGCTTTAACGGCGGCGCCGGCCCGGTGGCGACAAGGAGGCTCACTTACATCGACGAAGCTGCAGCCGATCGAGGCTGGCGGGCGATAGCGGCGACGCCGGTGTTCCAAGGCCGGCACGTTACACTCAGCGATGTAAGATCCACTGACAGATCACTGGGAGTTTGCTTGGGTGGCCAAAAGTCTCCATTCTGAAGCATTTTTCTGGTGCAATGCAAATCGTGCAGCAGCCGCAGGAGTAGACGTTCCGAGGCAGCTTGCAGCGCTTCGTGAGGCACGCGGGGCTCAAGGCGCGCGTGGCCGCCGAGTTCAGGACGCTCGAGTGCGTGTCGCGGGCCAGGCACAGCCCCGCGCCGCAGTGCTGGAACGGCTTCGCTCCCAGCGCCGGTTTCTTCCCGCCGTCGCCTCGACCACAGGGCGCCGCCACCCCGGAGGGGCGGCCGTCGTCGGATCAGCAGGCGGCGGCACCGGAGTGCAAGCTGGAGACGGACGAGGTGCTCAAGCTGTTCGTGCTCATGGGCACGCCCGCCGCGTTCTTGCGCAGAGCCAAGAAAATGTTCGGCTATGATGAGCCAGAGGAGAGTGCAGCAAAGGAGGGGCAATCGACCAAGGTCGACGACGCCCGGGAGCGCGCTGGCACTGCAACGGCGGCCGAGACTGGGCACGGGAAGAAGAGCAGCGCGAGCGCGCCATCGGCCGCCGCATGCGGGCCGTTCGCGCCGCCCAAGTTGGTCCCCGGCCGGCTGGGCTTCGGCCAGTTCGCGGCCTCTTCAGCACGTCCGTTCAAGCTCAAGTCCAAGCCTTCGGCGTCGAATGCTTCCGGCAAGAAGAAAGTTTCGTGAATAATAGCTACTCCATTTTTGTTATCTGTCTCCATCGATCATAAACCTGTCTCATCGAACTTGAAAGATACATAATAATTGGGTGATTTACCTTCTATATACTTTCCAAGTATTTTGAAATCGATCTGTAACGACTCTCTAATATGCGGACCCCTAAATCTTTTTTCTTTTTTTTCCCTAATATTAAAAGGCAATGTCTTAAAAACGGACGGCTGTTTTTTAGACCGCACGAGCACCTCCCCAACTCACGCCCACAGGCCACTCTCTTTCCCTTGGGCGTCCGACGAGCTCCTCCCCGCGCCTGCGCCCCCACCGTTAGGGTTCGGGCGGCGACGGTGCTAGCGGCGAGGTAGGTGGGTTCCTCCTCGTGGATCTAAGAGCTAGGATTCCGGGAGCTTCTCCTCTCTCTCTATCTCTCTCTCGTCTTCCTTAACTTTGGCGGGCTTAGAAGGGAAGGTTAGGGGAGGAAGGCCGACCAGGCGGTGGAGATGACAGAAGGGCGATTAGAGGCCCTAACGGCAGTGGAGACAGCCGGACCAGGTCGGGGCGGGGGAGCTTTGGCAAAGAGGAAGAAGGCGCCCGCGGCGGTGGGAGGGGGCAGTGGCGAGGGCTAGGGTCGCCGAGAGACGAAGAAGACGACGGACGGATGGGACGGATAGCGGGGCAAACGCCGGCCATGCAACTCGGCTAACGCACTCATGGCAGTGTGTTAGCCACGTCCATATCCATATTAAACAACCAATATTTCAGTCTATTTTTTTCGTCCACTTCCTACTAACTACGTGGACAATGACGAGTTTCTTCGGTCCCAATCTTTTACTTGATCCATATTATGACTCTACTCATATGTTGATATATTATGGGCTTGGCCCGTATAATATTTAATAAATCAAATAAAACTCTATGGTACGTAATATTAAGCGTTGTATGATTTAATACCGTATGAGATTTTGACTGAACGTTTACTTAGCTTATTTGGTTGGAAATTATCCATCTTAATTGAGAAGCTGAGATTATAGTACTTTACGTACTTACTGTATCGATCAATATATCATATTTGCATGCTGTAGCGTTTGTTAGAGATATACACATACACATATATGCCGTCACGAACCTACTGATGTTTTATTTATAGATTAAATTGACCATGAAAATGCCTAATTGTCTAACAATCCAAAAACCTAATGTTAGGTATTTTTCTGTCAGTGGGTTTTGCTGCTGATTTAAAACCAAATAATTTTGATGACAAGAATTTCATGATATGGTGTGCCAAGATGATATTGTGGTTGACTGCTATGAACTGCTATCATGCCGCACAGGGAAAGCCTAAACAATTTACTCCTGAGGAGGAGCAAAAGTTCTTGGCTGCCGATAACTTGTTTCGAGGCGTCGTGATTAGTGCACTTCATAGTAAATATGAGAAAAACATATCTTGCACATCAGGAAAAGAGTTATGGGATGCTCTTGAGGTAAAGTTTGGAGTTTCTGATGCTGGTAGTGAGCTGTACCTTATGGAGCTGCTGTATGACTATAAAATGGTTGAAAACCGTTCTGTAGTGGAACATGCTCATAAGATACAGGCGCTAGCAAAGGAACTAGAATGGACTCGTTCGCTGGTCTGAAACTTGGCTGAAAAACACTGTTCCAGCTGGTTTGTTGTGAGAGAAAAATATTGTTCGGCTAAATGGATAAATAGTGTCGCGTGAGGGGAACCAGCCGGCTGGCTGGTTGCATCCATACCAGCGAACACCACCAATATTTTCTATGTCTGTTACCCAACAAGTTTGTGGCCGGCGGTATAATCGTTAAGCTGCCACCTTCTTGGATGAATTTTGCTACTTCTCTAAAATACAAGAGACAAAAGTTTAGCGTGGCTGAGATTATTGGATCTCTTGATGTTGAAGAGAGAGCGAGAGCAAAAGACAACCGTGAAAAAGGAGTTGAGTCTTCCGCCGCCAATATGGTGTAGAAGAAAAACTCATTTGCACCCCGTAATAAAAAGAAGAAAAACATGCAAGAGAACAACAATACAAAGCATAAGCAAACTGCTCAGTTTAAGAAGAAAAACAACAAAAAGGTGGAGGTTGCTTTGTTTATGGGAGTGATGAGCATTGGGCAAGTGTATGCCCAGACCGCAAATATAAGCAAGAAAAGAAATCAGCAAACGTGGTGATTAGGGAGACTGGAGGAGTAACATCTGGGTATGGTAATTATTTACCTTTTGTTCTTTTGGTTTGTCTTTCACCTGAGTGGTGGATGAATAGCGGTGCTAATATTCATGTGTGTGCTGATGTTTCTTTGTTTACTTCCAATCAGGCCGGCAGGACTGGAGCCTTGCTGATGGGAAACGGTTCGCATACGCGTGTTCTTGGTGCTGGTACGGTCGTTCTGAAATTTACTTCGAGAAAGACGGTGCTAATAAAGAACGTGCAGCATGTCCCCTCCATCAAGAAGAATCTTGTTAGCGGTTCTCAAATGTGTCGCGATGGCTTTAAAATTGTTCTTGAGTCCAATAAATATGTGGTGTCGAGACATAGAACATTTGTTGGAAAAGATTATGATTGCGGAGGCTTGTTCCGCTTATCTTTGCTTGATGATGTGTGTAATAAAGTAGTGAACAATATTAATGTTTCGGATGAGTCGAATATATGGTATTCACGACTTTGTCACATTAATTTTGGCTGTCTCACGCGGCTTGTAAATCTAAATTTAATCCTGAAATTTAACTTAGTCAAAGATTCTAAGTGCTAGGTGTGTGTGCAATCGAAACAACCGCGCAAGCCTCACAAGGCTGCTGAGGCGAGAAACTTGGCACCATTAGAACTCGTTCATTCTAATTTATGCGAAATGAATGGCGAATTGACTAAAGTTGGTAAACGATACTTCATAATATTTATAGATGATTGTACTAGATTTTGCTACGTGTATTTATTAAAAACTAAAGATGAAGCGTTGCATTATTTTAAAGTCTATAAAGCTAAGGTAGAAAATCAATTTGAGAAGAAAATCAAACGTTTACGGTCCGATCGTGGGGGGAAATATTTCTCAAATGAATTTTCTAAGTTTTGCGCGGTACATGGAATTATTCATGAGAGGACGCCACCATACTCACCACAGTCTAATGGGATTGAAGAGAGAAAGAACCGCACTCTAACTGATTTGGTTAATGCCATGTTAGAGACCGCGAGATTATCTAAGGAATGGTGGGATAAGGCTATATTGACAACGTGTCATGTCCTGAATAGGGTGCCCACAAAGAACAAAGAAATTACACCATTTGAGGAATGGGAGAAAAAGAGACTAAATCTCTCTTACCTGTGAACTTGGGGTTGTTTGGCAAAGGTGAATGTGCCAATAAACAAAAAGTGAAAGCTTGGACCAAAGACTGTTGATTGTGTTTTTCTTGGTTATGCTATTCACAACGTGGGTTATAGATTTTTAATTATAAATTTTAGTATTCTTAAGATGGTTGTTGATACAATCATGGAATCCAGAGACGCTACATTTTCTGAGAATGAATTTCCAATGAAAAATGCACCTAGCACGACTGGTCATGAATTTATAATTCTCCATGAGCATGAAAATTTTACTCCGATAGAATAAATTGATGAACCCTATATGCAAAATCCTGAGGAGGATGACACTATAGTCACTAGAAAAAGTAAGAGACAGAGGACTGCAAAGTCTTTTGGTGATGACTATATTGTGTACCTTGTGGATGACACACCAACGACCATTGGAGAGGCATATTCCTCTCCTGATGCTGACTTATAGAAAGAAGCAGTACAGAGTAAGATGGATTCTATTATGTCTAATGGAACTTGAGAAATAGATGATCGTCTCTATGGGTACAAGCCCATATGGTGCAAATGGGCGTTCAGAAAAAAGCTTAGGCCTGATGATACTATCGTAAGGTACAAGACAAGACTTGTGGCCAAAGGTTATACTTAAAAGGAAGATGTGGATTTCTTTGATACTTATTCACCGGTTGTCCGATTGACTACAATTCGAGTTTTGCTTTCCCTGACAACCTCCTATGGTCTTATCGTTCATCAAATGGACGTTAAGATAGCTTTCCTAAACGGAGAGTTAGAGGAGGAAATCTATATGGATCATCCGGATTGGTTTATAGCAAATGGTCAAGAAGGCAAGGTGTGTAAATTATTAAAGTCATTATATGGCCTAAAACAAGCTCCTAAGCAATGGCATGAGAAGTTCGACAGAACTCTAACATCTGCTAGCTTTATTGTGAATGAAGCTGACAAATATGTGTACTATTGGTATGGTGGGGGTTGTAGGGGACCGTGATGCCTAAGAGTAGGGTGAATTAGACAACTTAAAATTCTAACTCTTAACTATGGCCTCTTTTTCTAACCCTAGCAAAACCTATGTAATAAATAAACTATCTAAATATGCAACTACAGTTTTGCTAGTGTGTTGCTATCTCTACCGCAAAAGGGGTAATACAATCAATGTAAATGCGGAAGCTAAAGAGCAAGGTAGTGATATGCAAACTCCCATCGACGACTTCGGTATTTTTACCGAGGTATCGAGAAGTGCGCAAGCTTCCCCCTAATCCTCGTTGGAGCCCCTCGTAAGGAATCTCTCGCAAGGGCCAAGCCCTCAGTCGGGTAACTCCATGGATAACCTCAGGCCTTCTCTACGTGCAAGTGGGTCTCCGACGTGCCTTCCGGCAAGCCTCTCCCAGATGCTCCCCACCGTCTTCACTATCAAGCTTCCGGCAGAAATGCCGCGGGCCTTGTTCCCTCTGGTACACGGTGGCGGCCACACCACAACCGCGGTTGGTGTGATCTCACAAGACTACAAGCCCCTCCAACGTATAACAATGGTGCGCGTAAGCACCGAGTGGTAAGAGGTATGCAAACCACACTAAACACTAGGCCTAAACCTAGAGCAAGCGCATAAGCGGTGATCTAATCAACCTAAGCACTTCGTAAAGCACCTACGCTAATAACCAAATGAATCACTAAGCACTATAC